AAAAAAAAGAAATACAAGCACCTCTCATTACTTTTTTAAAAATGGAAAAAATATTGGACTGCATTAAAATACTAAATAACCCTGACTTTGTAAACTATAGGACCTGTCAAGTGGTAATCTCACAATTTATGACTCACAGGGATACAAAGACGGGAGAAAAATGTACATCTCCCTCACATGCATAAACTCTCACACTCACAACTCACACACACAAAAATAAGACTGACTACAGGTATCCGTCATTAAAACGTGTAAATGTTTCCAAAGTGACAACGTGGATGTGGTGGCAGATACCAGTCTGAACACATCAGAGAATAAATGAACAATAATTTCGATATTAAAGATCTGGTGGTACATCTGTGTGTGTTTACCCAGAGGAGTTGCCTGCTCCTCTGATGTAGGATCAAAATATGGCAGCTGCTGTTATGGCTTGTGTTCTGTCAGTAGTCCAGTTATGTAGCTTGGCTGGTAGCTATGGACACGGTATCCACAGCTGTTGGATGAACAAATGAATATAGTACTGTACGACCTTGAAGGAGAATATCCCAAGTGCTTAGGAAGAGAGACTGTGCAGGAGTCCAGTATGAGACAGCGGCCTCTACATGCTTCACCTCTCGCTACCAGACTTCTGGGACTTCGAACAGCGTTGGTGTAGATTCAGCACCTGCACAGGAGAGACGCACATTTTTCACATGACTGAAAAAACCCAACAACTTGCTCCCAGTGTCTACATTCACCAGGTCATATTAAACAGTATATGATAAATGTACAGTTTTATTTTTTACCGTTAGTCCTCCCCTTCCTTAAACTGCCATGTAATCCCTTACTAACATCCTCAGGCTGTTGTGAACCCTTAGATTCTCACCTAATTTCAGCTTTCACAAATGAGACTCCCAGCAACAAAGAAAAGAAAGAAAGAAATAAAACAAAACAAAAACAAACTATAGTCCAAGTATATTTGGTAACTATATTATTTCTATGAGATCAACTACAAGCAGATCTCCTTTGTCAAGTATTCCCTACCGGACTCCCACCATATTCCAGTTTCTCCCAATTCTCTGGAATGTCAAAAAGATGGCATAAAGGAACATAACACAAAAATACTGGCACCCTCAGTGCCATTTCTTGGCCTCCTGCGATATCAATTTCATAATCCTACGTCACCCAGTGTAAGTTATTGCATTCACAGGATTTTCAGAAAACTTGACCTCTGACCTTGAGGTCAAGGCCACTGGGATTCGAACTTGCCTGAGATTTTTTTGTAGATACACCTATGGTCTCACTCTGAAACTCCTATTTTGCTCTGTTCAAGTTAACAAAAACACACACACTTTTAGGTTGTGGCTAATCAATGTATGTTGAGAAGATATTTAGTTTGTCTTATTCTTATCTAGGATAAAAGAAGGGAGTACAGTTAACTTAGGAAAGGGCGCAGCTAAGCAGATTTTAGCTACACATCTTTATATTTGACAACACTACAAAGAGCCCAAAGCAGTGAGTCCGCCTGAATCTGACCTGGTCCTGTTTTTTACTTCCAGAACATCTAAATGTGACGATGAACCATTATTTAATAAATAAAAAATAAATAAATAAATAAATAAACAAAACTAAAAACCACATGAGGAGAATCTTTGTTCCAGGCCTGCAAGTAGGTTAATGGACCGGTAATAAATCCGCTTGGCATCTTTCTTGGCCTTAAGACAACAATTCTGATGGCTAAAGATCCAAACGGGACACAAAAAAAGAAGGTTAATGGACCGGTATCAAAAAACCAAAACGCACCTTCAGATTTCTTTTTCTTGTTCTTTTGACCCTTCCTCTTGTGTACTGTTGGAGTTTGTTGCCAAGGGACAGTCCCATCAGCGTCATTGCCTGGATTTGTACCCTCTGGGCTTTTCTCATCATCAGGGGCTGGACTTAGCCCAGGTGAATCTGATAGATCCCTGCAGAACACAGCAACCATAAGAGGCTTAAATCACAACAAACATGACAGTGTCAGCATAAATGATGGCTGCTTTTACTTACGTCGTCTTCAGCCATCCCTCGGATGTCTTACTCTCGACAGCTTTAGTATTTGCCGCATCTAGGAAACCGTGACAACAGTGCACAAGACCCAAGATTATAGTTCAGAGTATTCATTATCATTTAATGGGACACAGCGTGCGTGTAGAAAATGCATTAAGACAGAGCTTTTATTAGTATATGCACTCCCTCACTATTCACCATAAATATCTTTGGGAATAATGTCATCAAAGTCATTTGATATCTCTGCTTTGGAGCAGGTCAATATTAATAAAATTACACTAATCTAGCGCTAGAGTACCCAGGCTTGCTTAACTTTAACTCCTTGGCAGTGATGATCATTCACCATGCCACCTGCTCTCATCCTCTACTAAGTACTTTCCTAGGGGAATCCTGCTGCATACTACCAAACAGAGAAAAAACAAAACAAAAACAGTACAGATGAACACACGTATTCACACACCATCAGTTTTCATCTTCTTGGTATCAGGGTAAGAGTAGTGACTCCAGCCATCTGTAATTTGAGCATCATCAGCTCCCTGCTCTCCCTGCATGGGACTGATGCTTCGCTTCCTCATCCTACAACAGCAGAATATTTCATGTAAACACAACCTGTGAAAATCTGAAGAAAATACTACAGAAGAGAAAAAATGGACAGAATTTCATCAGGAAATGTACAACGTGAAGCATTCATTGCACGAATACCTGGAATATCCAAACCCAGAAGTGGTGGAGCAGGTGTAGTGAGGCTTCACCCAACTGTCTTCTCCCCATGTTTTGGTTGTCTGCTTCTCCTTTTCCTGCTGCTTTCCCTGGATGTACTCTGCATATGTCTGGATCTTGTAGCTCTCTGCATAGCGGCTGGTGTTCATAGCTGTGTTTAAATTAAAAAGAAAAAAAAAAAGCACAGTTTGAAACATTTATGAAAGACTATTTACTACTTTGTGATTAGCTAAAGCGTCACACTCACCTATCTGTACCTGGTCCGTCTGACTTAGGGACACAAAGGCAGATGTGTCATCTATCCATGAAACCTGGATGTTCCCTGAGTAGATAAAGAGCAGAGGGTAAATTATAAAGAATTGCTAATATCCGTTTAAAAGCAGAATTAATGGGCTAAATTGTGACGTACCGAAGGCACTAAAGAGCTGGTAGAGGTCACTAGTCTTCCATTCTTTTGGGAAGGTGACGTACAGGACATGGTCTCTCTTGGGTTGCACTGTGCAAGAAGAAGGGAAGAAAGACAAACATGACGTGGACGAGCTGCAGTTTGAATTTGTACCAAGCATATTTTATGTTTGAAACTTAACTTTGTATTGTGTTAGGGTGAGTCTAACAATATTTAAGCTGTTTTAGTTTATTTTGGTTTAATACCGCCGCAGCTCTAAGAAATGCTCAAAATTTAACATTTTGTCTGTTTAAAAAAACAAAAAACAAAACACAAAAACACCACTTTGGAATTAGTGAGTCCAAACCAAGATAATATAATAGACCATTAGTGACAGTCATGTTGCGTTGCAGTACTTTACTCACAATCCGGTCCTGTGATGTTGAGGTAGGGTATATCTATAATCCTCATCAGAAAAAGCCTTAATAACAGAAAACAAGTATTAAAAAGGTTTTATTAAAATAAAAATGTAAATCAAAATAAAACACTTACAGCAAATCAAATCTATGAAATCACTTACTTATTGAAGAAAGGCTCAATTAATTTGGAACGAGCTGAGATGTATGCTTTGGGCGGAGTCAAGAAAGAACCTGTAAAGGGAAACGCCAAGTTTAAAATCAAATATCTGAACTGAAACTTTCTGTGTGAAAAGAATCAGTGATTACCCAGATAATTGGCCATGGCGATGAAACAAAGGCCAGTGATGTAGGCATCATAACCCGCCTCATGGAGCTGCTCCTGGGCTGTGTCATAGCTGGGGAAGCCCTCTGCTGTTTCTGAGAACAGCAGCACAGAGACAAAAGTGTGTCAGCGGGGTTTCTGGACAGTCACTGCATTTCAGACAGAGTCTGCTTTATTTACTCACCAACTTGTGGTGACTTGAAGGGGCTCTCCTTCAGCTGCTTCTCCAACTCTGCCAGAGAAGTATTTGTGATCAACTCCTGAAATGTAAAAGAACGTGCAATTATCGCCCTGATCACTTATAATTTACAACAAATCACAAATGATATCTTCAGTTGATTGAGGGCTCTAGCCACTTGTACCATCACATTATAATTAGACCCAATTACAAAAACTGTCTTAATAAGCCCTACTTAAAATCATAATCAGCTTGTGGTCAAGTTTGTTGACACCAGAGAAATTAAGGCACGGGAGCTCTTAAAGTACTTACAGAGCAGCGGGAATTTACAGGTTGACACAGATTTAGTGGACACTAATCTCAAACAACCACATCACAGGGATGTGGGGGTGACATGTTTGATGTCAGAAGCTTTTTGTTTCCATTTGTATTTTGAGCTCTCTTGACTAACTGGATATCAGCAGAATTCTAACTGTGTAGGCAAACGTTATTATTAATGCTACTGTTACTACCAAAACTGCAGGTCAGCACAACAGCAATATAAATCATACTGGCACTTGTTTAGAGTTCGGGCAGGATAACCCAGAAATGTTGAAGGTGTCGCCACTCAGGAGTTAGCAGGCAATGCAGCCATCATACTGGGTAACAGTGTTAACCTTTCAGGGAGACTGTTGCCCTTAGATGAAGACTTCAAAGTAACTGCCTACATCCAGGGAAAAAAAAAAAGTCTACATGAAGCAGAAGACGAATTGAATTTTGAACGCTGTCCAATTAAGACTGAGTTTTAAAAATAGGAAATTGTAGCCTAGATATTGGCTGGCTGTAGCAGAAGGCCTGAAAAATGGGCCTCATGAGGGTAAGTCAGCAGTTCAGCTGATGGGTTCACAGATGGAAAGTAAACAAAACATAAATTAGTGTTACCCCACCACCATCTTTTCAATACATCTTAGTGACCAACAGCGATCCACTAAAAGCACTTAAGCAAATGATTTACCTTAAATGGCTGAGTGGAAGCCATCAATTTGGTGTCTAGAAGTCTGCAAGTGAATAAATCAATCAATTAAAGCAAACAAATAAAAAAAAAGTAATGCAAAACCCCTGCTGTAATGACAAAACCCCCCAAATTTAACAACATTACCTTGGGAAGACGCACATTGTAACTTCTTTAAAGTCTTGAATATCCTTTTTTTTTAAAAAAAAAAAAAAAAAAAAAAAAAAAGACAGTACCACCTTAAATAATGCATACATCTCATACCAAGCTTGAAATTGCCATTTCTTGTACCGAAAATGCATTTTAGCTCCATATTTAAAATATGCAAAACATACCTCAGGCAGAGGGCAGTAAAACTGATGGATGGTGTGCATCACATCCAAGAGCATGTTGTGGCCGACAACCAGTTTACCCTGCAAGTCAGAAAGAGTGGTTCTGTAAATGTCACATTTATGGGCGCAAATTTAAAAATCTTCTAAAAACAAAAAAAAAAAAACAACAACAAAAAAACAAAACGCAACACTACAAAAGAAATTCTTTAACAAACAAAACTTTGCTCACAAAATTGCATGTTGGTATAAAGCCTCAGTCTATATTTGTGTATAAATCTGTAAGTGAAAAACTAGACTTACAGACTTTGAGATGGCATGGATGACTCTGGAGAAACCAACAGCGTCATTTAGCTCCTCCTGTCAGGGGGAGGTGATTCAGTTCGGTTAGTTTTATAAATGCATAAAGCTACAACATGTTTTTCTGAATTTCATACAAGCTTGACAATTAGCACAAGAAACATTTGATAGTTTGCCTGCTCTTTCTCTAGTTTCTGCTGCTCCCTCCGCTTCCTCTCCTCCTCGTCAACTTTACTGATTTGTATGTATCGCTCCTTCTGCAAAGACACAAATATGTATTTTCAAATGTTCACAAAACAGCAAAAAGTGAAAAAACAGCTTCAAACAAAATATAAGCATACCTTTTCTGTTTCCACAGTTTCCACGTGCAGGCCCTTTGGAAACCTGTAGGAACAAGACAAATGTTAATCTTTAAGCCAAGCAAGACCGTCAGAGCAAAGACAGGGCTTTAAGCAACACTCACTTCCAGTTCAGCGTCTGGTATATCAGCTTTCGCTGAAATCTGGAAAGCAAAAGTAGAAATAAAATGAAATTTACATGGTGAAAACAAAAGTTTGGGTTAGATGCAGCTTTTCTAGAAGAGTGTCCAGTTACCCAGTGCATGGTTCCAGGTCCAAAGTCTTCTCAGAGTTAACCATGAGGGCCTCAACCTTCTCGCTGTAGTGGAAACAAAACAAAATGATTGTAGAGTATTCAAAAGCAAACAACGTTTCCTTTGTGGCTTCCTTGACCAATACACCACCAAGGACATCAACCAAAAGCTAAAACATGATCAAAGAACTCATTTGATGCTGTAAAGAAAACAACTGAAGCAGCACTTACACAACTTTGTTGATGAAATCTTTATGTTCCTCAGGTACATGTGAAGAGCCTTTGGAGGATGATGGGGAGATAAAGGATGGTGTCCCTACACCATTGGCATGCTGATTCCTCCTCTCCTCTGTCTGCTCTCTCAACTGGGCTTCCTCTTCCTGATTTAGGTAGGGGATTCCTTTAAAATACCACAAAGCCTCGTTTTTAAACTTTGCAGTGACCTGGAGCTTATTGTGCCGCGTGTACAAACATGGAATGTGTATCCAGATGAGGTTTAATGCACTTAATATAATGCAACCGATTCATCCCAACTGCATTTGTGGAAGGCCAGGTGGCAGCAGTCACGCTATTGTGCACTGCTGGTCCACTGCTTGCCTGGGACGTGCAATGTTTGTTGACAAATCAGCCGTCTGTGCCAAACTAATTTGCACATTGAGATTAGATGAAATTGCAGGCGCACAATTGAGACAGAAAGAATGCAACGTGAAAATAGAGAGAGACCCACAGGTTGTTGATTAACATGATTCAAGCAGGGTTCACTGGGCGTAAATGGGGCATAGTTGTAATGTGTGGTTTGTGCTCTGGAGTGTGCGCTAAGCCACAAGAAAAAGTTTCAGCAATGGGCCACATTCACTATGTGCGCACACAAACATTTGTACCTGAATTTTTTCGTACTCGATGAATGAATTGAAGATGACCGCAGACCATACAGATAAACAGATGAAGATTTAGCAGTCTAAGAAAATGTACTCACTTCTTTCAAATGAGCACTGATTTTACTACAACATTGTTACAGCTTTCTAAAATAACCATAAACCAAAAGAAAAAAAAAATGCTCAGAATTAAATACGATTCATTGAGTAATACTATAAAGAATTCAACACAAATTCTTTGCTTCCTTTAACACGAAGCTCTGTAGCCCATCCCAAAAAACAAACCCCTGCTAACAACAGTAGCAGTGACAATGACGCCGTTGCAGTTTAACGTGCAGCCGGAGACTGTTTACACACAGCGAAGAGCAAAGAGGCGGAGCCGTTACCAAGACAGTGAGAAACCGTGTTTCTAGTGTCCAAAACAGCAGTGCTATTCCTGTAATCACCATTAAAACCTTTACTGGGAAGAAGCTAGTGGATGATGGTGCCCTGATGCATGTTTATTTTATGATTAATCTTATTACCATTTATTAAAAATGACTTCCATCAGTGCTGGGTGTCACCACTTATATAACTTCGTTTAATTAGTTTCTAGTATTCCACAGATGCCGAAGGATACGGATGTTTTTTTGATAACTGTAGTGTTTCTCTTTGGAGACTGACCATCATCCGTCCTGTGAAAACTTATTTTAGAGCTGCACCTTTTCTGGCTTCCTTCTCAGACCCTTGTTTCAGTTTCTTCAGCTGGACGACTTCTGCCCTTTTTTTCTCTCCCCTTTGCAGTACAGGCTTCTCTCTCCCTCTCGCTCAACTCAAAGTACACAGGCTTCCATTTATATTGTAAAAGCCTGCTGATGTAGAATGATTCTGATTCACTAACATACCCACGGTGGCAAGAAAACTGGCCAGAGCACATGGTTCATAAATCTGATGGCAATTTTGTGCGTGCACGTCACCATAACTGCTATAAAGTAGAAGCAGAAAACCCTTTATAGCTTTTATGAGTAATTATATATCAAGTATAGAGGCCAAGTAATCACAGTGAGCTTCCATTTTAAGATTTTTGTATAACAATAGATATCTAGAACTGCTTTTTTTTTTTTTGCACTCACCGTGACAGAACACCTTGTTGAAGTCAAATCCCTGACTGGCCAGGAAGTCGATACTGGAACTCTGAAATGACAAAATGTGTTTGTGTTAATACTGTTATTAAAGCTTTCTGCAGCTGAACCAGCATTTCATGAAGCACCATTTTTAAACCATCTAAATCTCTCTGAATCCAAAAGGTCATGTCCCAGTTGCTTATTAAGAAGCAATTCAATAATGTGGGGAACAATACTCACTTGACAGATGAACTTTATGTCAGGAGATGTCCTGTTGAACGGTTTAGGGAATATATAAAAGTTAAAGGGCTTTGTGATGTACCTGCAGAGCAAGGAAATGGGGGAGGAGAAATAATTTAAGTTCCTGGGAGTTTATTGCAATAACCTGCAGAAATACATATGGTTCAAGCACTTTACATCTTTTAAGCACCACAGGGAGACTGGGCCCCAGTTATATATTGCTACAATGTCTTGCATTACTGACAAATATTTTGCAAGGTATACAGACACACACATACACAAAAATTACAGTGTCTTCAGAACCAGGGTTTAACATGATCTCACATGCACAAATGCACAGAGAACTGGTTTAAACTGTATGCATCACAAAAGTAAACCAAACGATGGCTCAAAGATAGATTTTTGGACCAAAGGCCAAAATAGGACATCAACCTCCTTGTAAGTAGAAATAAATTAGGAAAACTAGGAATAGCATACATTAACGAATTAATAAAAAATGCCTGCACCTATGTCAATCTATGAGATTCTGGCTACACTCTGCAAGTAGTTGATGTGAATACTCGCTTATGCAATCAGCAACTGGCATTGGCCAGTTTCCCTGATTTATCATGGTTATTCTCTGTATTACCACAAAGAGAAGCGGGTCACGCAACAGCAGACTGGCTTCATCTTTTATTGCGATATTGATGCACCAGAGTTGTTTTGAAGACAACACCTGACTGAGTGGTCACAGGCCTGGTCCCCACCTTTAAAGTAACCATATCAAAAGCGACAAGCCTAATATTACTGGACACAGTTGCTCTAATTTTGGCCTCCAACCACCTCTTTCCCTAAACAGATTATGATAATGTGTCTAGAAACTGCACTGTCCCAGACCCTCATTTGAAATGGTACAAGGCAATGGGCATGTAGTAAGCCTGGAGGCTTTTGGGCCTAATTGTGGGCAGTGATCCATTTCATAATCCGGCTTTAAGTGTGAGAATGCCCAAGGAGGAGAATATCAGTAGATAAGTCTGAATCTAAAACAGTATGCCTACACTTGACCAGAGGCCATCTGTGGTTTATGCATTATGGTGCACTTCAATGTAAAGGACCAGACCCCAGCAAACTAATGGGAGTCCAGTAGCTGATTAGTTATTTTTGTGTTTCACCAATTAGAATAACACATTTACTGTATTCAACAAACAGACACCACTCACTTTGACTTTGCCTGGTCGTACTTGAAGGTACACAAACCAAACTGGAACAAGAGGAAGTCCATGGAATGCTGCAGGCATGGAGAGAAACACATGTTAACATGTTCAAACGATAAACGGAAAAGTGAAAGTGTTCAAGCTACTGCAGGACCATAAAAGAAGTAGAGGTTCCAACTAGAATTGTGTGTATGGAGGTTGCAGTATTATTTAATATGCATAAACTGCGTTTCTCAACGTTGCTAACCTTTTTAAGCTTCGTGTATCGCTCTTCCGGTGTGTCCAGTCCATTGGTTAGTGCACTGACATTAGGACCGTCGCTTATCCCTTTAAAATAAACAATTAAAAAAAAAAGTCAGTTTCCACATATAATGCTGGGGACTTCAATACCAACGTCTGCTACAGCTCTGACACGGATACCTGAAAATTCCCCATCGATGGCAAGGAAGTCAGCCTCTTCTATCGCGCTGTACACAGTGTTTAAGCAGTCTTTATAATCTGAGAGAAGGAAACAGTCAGTCAGTATCAGAATGCTAGCGCAATGCTAGCCAGCAGTTGAACACACTGCAGCTATCAAGCTAGCTGGGTAGCTCGCTCGCAGGCAGCACTCACGCTGGGATGTTCATTTTCAGTCTGCTCAGTACTGAATATCTGTCATACCACTAGTCTATTTCATCCTATCGTGAAATGTATGGTGAGACAAAAAGTCCGTAAATCGCTGAAATCGGTGTCTGGCTACTTACTTTTCCGTGTAACCTCCATCCCTACACAATGACTGGACCCGGCTGACAGCTACGGTTAGCTAGCCTTCGTCAACTGGCTTTTAACCCGTTTGACATACACTTCCGGCGGCGGTGCCGCAGCACGAAGTAACGCTGTCGCGGTCATGCATCTTTGTAGCTTTTGAGCTGAAAGAGATTTAATTGACAATTATAAAAGGACAATATTTAAAATAAATGTTCCATTTTTTTCATGAAACCTTTGGGGCATGTTTATAGAGTAACACTTAAAATACGATTTTGCAATTTATTGCAGCTATCCAGTTATTTTCCTTAATTTTAACGCTGTTGACATTTCCGTTTAAAATTCCATTTCTTTTTCATTTTTAATATTTTTCTCTAAAGTTGAAATAGATTTTGCACATAAAAAAAAAAATCCTACCAGAAGGAAATCTCTACAAAAACGACAGCCATCTTGAAACGCCTGCAGCTATTTCTCTGGGCAGTTCTCTAGGATTTCTGAGGGTCTTTCAAATGTTTTTTTGGAGAAATTGGCCGCTTTTTCACAAATTTCAGTCCATTTGCAGAGGAATGTTTTGTCTGTCACTTAACACTTACCTATAGATCATTCAAGTATAAAATGCTATCTCACAATGGGTCTCGTGGAGTACGGAGCCTCCCAGGGGACATGGGAGAAAAAAAAAATTACGGAGGAAAAAAAAAATTAGGGAGGAAAAAAAAAATTAAGACGGACTTTTGCGAGAGCTCGCAAAAGTATTGCGAGATCTCGCAAAGTCCCTAATTTTTTTTTCTCCCATGTCCCCTGGGGGGCTCCGTAGTGGAGTGATGAATCAAATGAGGTTTGAAATGTTTGGTTGAAATTATTGTCAGCAGAGCAGATCAGGAGAGAGGTATCACAGTGAAGGTCTACAGCCATTTGTAAAACACAGTGGAGGGTCTGTCATGGTTTGGAGCAGCATTTCAGTCGGTGGTATTGGAGATTTGTCAAAATAAATGGAACTGTAGGTCGAAATCAACAGATTTTGATCCATAATGCAATACCATCATTGTTATCAGCATGACAATGATCCCAAACACACTGCCAATGAATTAAAAGCATACCGGGGTAGAAAAGCAGACAATAGATACGATCAGTCATGGACTGGCCTCCCCAGAGGCCAGACCTCAACATCATTGAAGCAGCATGGGATCATTTTTACAGAGAAGAGAACAAATGGCAGCAAAAATCCAAAGAAATGTCTAAGGCAGTTCAAACTTGTTAGAAGTTTGTACTGTACTCCCATGTATGTTTGTATGCCTTCATCCACCCACTTTCCATTTTCTAGCAAAATATAAAGAAAAGGGAGTTGCTCAAGACTTTTGCACAGTATTGTAGCTCTTTTCACTCATCTCTTTTATTCTTGCCTACTGCGTCATTGTGATCATTATTTGTCATTTCTGGCTTGTTTCGAGGTACAATCTTGATTCGACCTCCCCCTTCGCCATTTTGCACCCATGATACTTACACTTATCAGTGGTAAACATTACCATCCTTACAGTTTTCATGTGTAAAACATACCACACATTCTTCCTCTTCATATTCTTCACAGTGACAGAATTCATCTCAAACACTGAAGAAAAACCATTAACTCTGCGTACACCTGTCAAGCTGTACAAATGGTGCCTTGTAGGAGGCTGTGTTTTGTGGATCTTATATCTGTGGGCTACTCCAGATCTTGACTGATTTGTAACTGTCAGTTCCAGATGTGTTGTAAAGTGGTGACTCAATTCAATCTGGCAGTGTGTCTGCCACTGATTTTCTTAGAGCTGGAACAGCTTCTGCAATTATCATATGCATTTGTCAAAGGAATATATATATAAAAAAAAATCTTTGTCAATAGAAAATGTCTTCCCAGTGGAAGAAGCAAGGGGTGACGTGTTTTCTCCATTGAAATGCAAAGATGACATTTCAAAAAATAGGGACAGGAAGGTTTTCCTTTTCATACTTTTTTATAAAGGAAAGGGAAAAGAAAAGCTTCTGCTTGTATGTATTTTCTCAGGGGGTGTAAAGCTGCAGAATTACATTTTTTTTACTTCTCAGATTCAAATGTGAAATGCCACATCCTTTCTAGTCGTCACACTGAAAGCATTTTATGCTCAGTAGAAATGTAAAAAGTTTGTTTTGTTTTTATTCTTAGAGTTTTACTATGTGTTAGGATCGAGACAGAATGTATGCATTGCTACAAAAGGAGGATTAAATAATAATAATAGTATGAACAGATCTCACACCAGAACAAACAAAGGGAAATGCAGCAGTAAACCAACTGTTGGGATGACTCACAAAGAAAAACAAATTAGAGCACAGTCCGACATGATGACAAATGCTTACATAAGAGATGAATGACAAGTCAGATTAAACAGATTTAATTAAATATGGTTAATGAGTGGAAGTGATAGAGTGTGGGGGAGGGTGTGGGAAGGGTGTGGGGGTGTGTGCATTAACCTTCAGCTGAATCACGACTAATCTGAGGAAGCCCTGATTTTTAAATGACCTTTAAGGTGTCGCTTCACATTTGCTGCCGTTCTCTTTTTCCTCCTATACACTCGGTGAGAGATCTGTGCGCTTCTCAAAAACAGCAAGGATGCTTGACTATTCTCCAGCTCGAAAAAGGAAAAATCTTTGTCTGCTAAATGTGAAAAGAAAAGTCACCTGTAATAGCTGAGCAACACCTGAACGAGTCGCAACGTTTCCATGACAAATATAAATTTTGTAACTTGATTCATTTCAGGAAACTCATTTCCCTGAAGGATGTTTGCTCTTGTAATATTGAGAACACGTCGAGTTTGAGCAAAGATTTTGGCTTTAAAAGGGAAACGTTTTTGCTGACATGGTGACAGTACCCTCACATATGTAATACTGAAAGAGTTTCTGGTTGCATTATTGGCAGCAAACACATGTCACATCAAGGTTTGTTGTAGTGCCGGTGATCTTAGCATTAGCTTCTGACAGGCCAACAATTCAAACAACTCTCATCCTCCTGATATGGATAGATTATAACTTAACTATGAAATTACATGCTACCCTTATGTCTGTGGATGTTTGTGTTGCAGTGATCAGGTTTAGTGACTCAAGACTTGAGTGTCAGCTACTAAAGAAATAATCTTTAAGTTATGTTATTGTTACCTGTAAAACAGTTTTAGGAATAAAAACTTTATACTTCAAACCTCTTTCAGTGCAAATTGACTGCTTTGCAACATCTCATGAGTTTCTCTCTCCTTTTCTCTCCTTTCTCCCTCCTTGGGTGATTCCTGTCCATTGTATTCCCATCATTTAACAGCTTTTCATTTGTTGTCTTTTGTACACTGATCAGGTATAAAATTAAGTGCACTGATAGATGACAGGTAAAGTGAATAACACTGATTATCTCTTCATCGTGGCATCTGTTAGTGGGTGGGATATATTAGGGAACAAGTCAACATTTTGTCTTCAAAGTTGGTGTTAGAAGCAAGAAAATGGGCGAGCATAAGGACCGAAGCAAGTTGGATAAGGGCTAAACTGTGTGAGACTGGGTGAGAGCATTTCCAAAACTGCAGCTCCTGTGGGGTGTTCCCAGTCTGCAGTGGTGAGTGTCTATCGAAAATGATCCAAATAAGAAACAGTAGCGAATGAGCGACAAGGTCTTGGGTGGCCAAAGGCTCATTGATGCACTTGGAGAGTCATGGTTTTTCCTGTGCGGTCTGATCCAACAGGCAAACGATTGTAGTTTAAACTATAGATAAAGTTAATGCTGGTTCTAATAGTCAGGTGTCACATTACAGAACGCATTGCAGTTTGTTGTGTATGGGGCTGCATAGCTGCAGACCAGTGAGGGATCCCATGTGGATCCCTGTCCACCGCCGAAAGCACCAACAATGGGCACGCAAACATCAGAAGTGGACCACGAATCATGTTTTCTTCTACATCACGTGGGTGACCGGGTTTCATGTATAACACTTACATGGAGGAACACCTGGCACCAAGCTGCACTATGGGAAGAAGGCAAGCTGGTAGAGGCAGGGAAAACCTGAGAAAAAACAGTGACCCTCCACAGGAGTCCTGCAGGTGGAACTAATTATGTGGATGTTACTTGAACTAGCTACCTGGACTAGCTACCTATAAGCAATGTTGCAGACCATATACACCTGTTCATGGTATTCCCTGATGGGTGCGGCCTCGTTCTGCAGGATAATGCAACCTGCCACAAAGCAAAAATGGTTTAAGAAATTTTTGAGGGTGCACAACAACAAGTGTGAGATATTGGCCTCCAAATTCCCCAAGTCGCAATCCAGTGTAGCATCTATGGGGGATGTGCTGGACAAACCGCAAAGTCTGATCCATGGAGGCCCCACCTCACAACTTACACTTTCCCATAGCGCTTAAAATATCTGTTGCTAACATCTTGGTGCCAGATACTACAGCACAACTTCAGGGGTCTAGTGGAGTCCATGCCTTGATGGGTCAGGGCTGCTTTGGTAGCAAAAGGGGGGAAAAAAACAAACCCTTTTCTGAAAACAGCTTCAATTTACAACCTACACCGTTTTTCTTTTGTGCAAACATCCATGTGGAAGATGCACATTTTAAACCACAAGAAGCCTCATTCAGACAAAATGATGACCTCTTACAGTGAAAATACGTGACGAGTTCAGGTTGGAATCATGAAGCACTTGGTTCAGTTCAGTTCTGTTCAAAGAGTCATAGCTACTGACTATGTTTGCAACCTCCCCCACCCCACCCTGCTACATCTTATTCAAAGGCTTCACCATTCATACACCAAACATTCAGCTCTAATACAGACTAGATACAGACAGTTTAGTCTGTTTCTACTATAGGTTATTAAGATCATTTCAGTGTAAAACCTACAGAACATAAGCCTGCCAAAGCCTTTGAGCACCCCACATAATATCAATAACTCAGCAGCATATTATTTAAGCCAGCTTATCAGATCATAATTGTTTGATTTTAATTTACTGCCAATCCCAGCTGAGCAGTCAACGGCGCTGTTTCACCACTGAGGAGCTCCACCACAACTGCCACTCTAATCCTCGACAAGTGTCTATTAAGTCCAAGTTTTCATTTTCAGTAAATTTTCATTTGTTTGTACACGAACTGTTTCAGGAAGCGTGCTGCCAGGAAACAATCACAGCAAACGAAAACTTTTATGTACTAATATTCATGCAATTATTTTTTAAGACAGGCTTTCAAAATGTAGACTTAACCTTTAACTGACAGATGGGAAGTGATTGAAACAAATGTCCTCAGTTAGTGTCATGTGCAGTCTCCAAATCTTGAGGATAAGGCAGGACTTGCAGTACTGTGGCATTTCAAAAGTAAGGTAGTATGTGTTATATGTTCAGAGTCAATTAACTTAAGTGTACACATCACACTATATCACAAAGTACTTTTGTATTTTGCCTGGAAGCTCAAACCACTATATCATCTGGCAC